GTTTTGCCACATATTCTTTGTTACCCGTTCAGCTAGTGCAGAGCTGCCTGCCCTCCCTTGCTGGTTTTGACCCAACTTTTTTTTTTTTTTTCTTTTTTTTTTTTCGTGCTTGTGCAACTGCACTGTCTTCTGCAGAGTTCCTCCTGCCACGCTCTGCTGCACGAGGATGGGGGCTCTTGGCCTTATTTATCAGAAAGTCCCATTTCTGCTCCCGGGTGGTTGTGGTGGGGACTGTCTCACTGCTCCTCTCTGGAGCTGGGCACCTTCTCTCCTCCTGCTCTGCCAGGGTGAGGAGATGCTGCTAAGGCACAATTTTCCAAAACACACCTGACAAACAAACTGGGGTGGGAAAGGGGGGAGATCAGGGTCAGGTGTTGGTTTATACAGCACCTCGCCTTCAACTTGTGGCGTTTCATTTAAGCTTGGTTTGTCTGTGGGCCCAGGTGCCCGGTGTGTGTCCTGCTGGCTCCCTGAGAGCGTGCCCGTCTGCAGGAATCCTGATATAATCCCCATTTGGTGACTTAGGGCTGGGAAAGTGTCAGGACGTGTTCAGAAGCCGCCGTTCCCCGGCGCGGCACCGGGAAGATGAATTACTGCAGGCACCAGCCCCGTGTAGGAGCTTTATTAGTTTGGGAATGCAATCAGCAGCACTTGCTTTCTTAGTCCTTTACCTAATTATCCTCATTGCCTGTGTCACATACACGGAGAGCAGCCAGGAGGAATTTACGTCTAAGGGCAGCCGGAGCTGGAAAAATCCCCTTTTGATGTGCTTTTCCCCCCCTGGCTCCCCTCGGGGGGCAGCGGTCCCTGTGCCGGCTGCGGGTGGAAAAGCGCTTCGGATGCACCTGTAGCTGATTTTTTATGTATAAGTGAACCCGCCGCTGCATAATCTGCACTTGCTGAAACGTTAGCCCTAAGTAACCTTTCCAGCTGGCTGTGGTGCAGAGGGAGATGTTGGTATTCATGAATGTTTTGACATATTTGACATTTTCTATATGGTGTGCTCTTTCTCTGATTTTTTTTCCTGGTTTCCTCCTGTCTCTGCTCCCCTGTTTTAGCGGCGAAGAGTGGCCTTCCCCGGGCTGCCGGGCTCTGGGCGGCCTCGGAGGCAGGAGGGGGGGGCTGCTAGGAAACTTAAGCTTTGTGGTTTGGGTTTTTGGGTTTTTTTTGTGGTTTGCCTTTATTATTATTATTTTAATAATTAATTTTATTTCAAAGTATGTGTTTAGGTAAATAATGGGATTATTGCGTTTTATCGCAGTGCACCCTCGAGCAGAAGAGCTGGGTTTGGCAAAGGGGGTGGCTGGTGGTCTCTCCCAAAAGGGCATTTGGGGTTGTTAAAACCTGAAGGGAGAGGATTTTTGGGTGAGCAGAGCCTGGTGTGGGTGCAGTGTGACAGCACGGGGGGGTGACAGCACTGACCAGGCAGCCCTGCTGGCCCCAGCCCGTGGCTTGTGGCTGCTCCAGCTCCCCAGCCATGATTTCTGCCAGGGGGAGAAGGTGCCGGGCTACGGAGTGGCTGAGGACAAAACCTCATTTTTTGGATAAACGCAAACAGTCCATTTTGTTGAAGGGGCCTCGTGTCTATTCAGATCACTTCTAAATTTTGTCCGCACCTATTTACACTATTCTGCACGAACCCAAACCTCGTTAGTAAAGTTGGGGCCCTGGCTGAGACGGGAGAACCCCCCTGACACTGGTTGGGTGGTTTTCCTCCCATCATGTTTTTTTTCCTTGTCTCCCTCTTTTTCCAGCCGAGCACCTTTCAGGATGTGGGGAAGAGTTCAATGTGGACGAATGTTCCCACTTTGGGGAAATAATATCTGAAAGTGACACCTGATTCCCCCCAAGGTGTCCTTGCTGGGACCCCAGTCCGGCTCCTCTCCCTCCGTGCTTTGGGGGTGATTGCAGCGGATTTGGGGCCAGCAGCACCGGGTTAATGCTCCAAATCACAGCACTTCAGCTTTGGGGATTGAAGCGGTGGCTTTAATAGGACAAACCTGCTCCGCAGCACTGGCAAAAACCAGCTTCCAATGCTGGTTGCATTCCTGGTGTCGGGCACAGGGGCTCGCCCGTGTTAATAAATACTAAATAACGTTGCTTAGCTAATTTTTCTTGCCCAACTCGGTGTTCTACAAGGAGACGTTAATGCGAAATTTTAATTACTCTATCGTTTTAAATTGCACAGCGTTGGGCAGCCCAGTCAGACTTGCAGGTGATAAAGCATCGCTGCGATGCGCTTGTAAAATAAACACCTTTCGTCCCATTCTCTAACAGAACTTGCCAAAAAAAAAATATATAATCATTAAATCCTGAGAAAGTGCCCACATTTAGGTAGCAAAAGAGCTGTTCTGCTGGTGGTTGGGTGTTGTTGGGTGTGTGTCATTGGGGATGTCAGGGGGGGGAGGCCAGGCCAGGCCCGTGCTGGGGGGCACGTCTCTCTCCCAGGGTTCAGGGAGGCACCTGGGAACAAGGGACCCTCCAGCCTCTTCTCTGAGAAATAAAAGCGAAGCGACAAGCTCTGGAGCAAAACTTAAAAGGCCACGGACGAGGGGCCGGGCGGCGGGAGGATGCGAGGGGACGGGGGGATGCCTCAGCCCCTCTGGAAATGTCCTGGCTCTGAGGGAATGTCAGCGGGAGCTGGGGCCGGGCTGGGGTCAGCGGGGAGAGGAGCCACCACTGACACAGGGTGGGTTCTGCCCCTCGGGCAAAGCAGCAGCTCCTCCTTCGCTCCTTTGGGCTCGGTGTGGGCTTTGCAGGTAGATGATGTGTCCCAGAGCATCCCTGCCCGGGGTCAGGAGGGACCAGTACCCGGGGCTGGCCCAGGGACCCCAGCTCTCCAGCAACGTGCCTGCACCCCATGGATGCTTAAATGCTC